ACCAAGTATTCAGGAAATCATCCAGCTTCATTTTCTTCCTGTGGGGGGAAAAAACCACAAACATGCCCTCAACCCCATATCCAAACAAGATTGGGACTCTTCCATAATTCAGTAAAAGGATCCTTCCATTCCACTTGAACAAGTCACTTGAGTTCCATCATGCCAAACTATCTGCAACAGATTATACATGGGCATCCACATTCAACAAATTTAAAATGAAGAGGGCATGATTGAGTGATTATGTGGTGACTGAAAGTATAATTCACCCTTTTACATTTTTTGGAGTGGTGTTGTTGGCACGTTCCACAATTCCTTGTCCTTGAGAGTGATAAGGAATGCCTGTTTTATGCTAGATTTTCTATGGGGAACAAAATTGCTGAAATTATTTACTAATATATCCAGATCCATTATCTTTTTTTTTTTTAATTTTAGAAATGCCCAAATATGAAAACCATTGTAAGCACTGAGCTAAACTGGGCTTCCACAATTTGGGCAGTGGCCATCAAGAACCCTGATGTGTATCAACTGTCACATGCACATATTTTAATTTGCCAAATTCTGCAACATGAGTAATAACCATTTGCCATAAGTGATTATGAAGAAGGCCTTTAGGATGCACAAGGCAGGCACAAGTAAATACTGTGGGCATATCACATTGCTTAACAATTTGTCAAGCAATTTCTCTGGTAAGGCCCAAATTGTCTTTAATTTCTGCTATTCTGATGATAAAGGGCATGTGACTATTGAACCAGTTCTACCTGGGACAAAGCAACCATCTTTGTTAATTTATCAGCTGATGCATTACTGTCAGCCAGTGGAATGAGCTCTAATATGACCCACAAAGCATGGCAATTTTCTTTGATGAATGACATTTTGAATTTGTTGAAGCAGCATCCTAACCTGATCATTACTAGTTCCAATACAGACAACAGTTTCAATAACTTGAAGAGCTCTAAAAATATAATGACTATCAGTATACAGATTAAATTAATTATTTATGAAAAGCTAGAAAACCATAGCTATAGCTCATAATTCTACTATCTGAGCTGAAGCTGGAGCTGTTTGTATTACCATTAACAACATAAGCAGCTCTTCTGTTGAAGAAACTATCTGTATCATGATAATTAAAACCCAGAGACAGATTGGGGTTCAAGCTTCAATATGAAGATCAGAAAAGCAAAGCAGCCAAGCCACTAGCTTTTACCTCTACTTCAAGCTGAAAGGGCTGGTCCTGTCTCCAGAAGCTCTCACCAAACCTCGGACTACTTCATCTCCTCAGTGTGTCTGGAGAATCAGTGTCTTCCTATCCTCAATGTGTTTGGAGAATGAATGCCAGCTATGAGACCCTGTTCCTGTCTTAAATACCTCTTATGAGTCCTTGGACTAAAGGCAAGAGCTCTGTTATTCATATAGCCCTGGATAGACTTGAACTCAGAGAGATCCATCTGCCTTCATCTCCTAAGGACTGGGATTAAAGGTGTGTGCCACCACTGCCTGACTTCTATGGCTAACTAGTATGATTAATTTGCTATTTTGATCTCCAGCAGCTTTAATAAATCATAAACAATATATCACTACAACCAGTAAAAAAAAAACCAGCATAATATCTTTTATGAGATTTTTCATCACAACTTTAGTAAATATAAAGGAATACACTTGGGCAAATTGCAACAATCAGTCAGCTGGAAAGTGATTATCAATTTGTCCCCAAAATTGAGCAAAAGCAATCACCCAAGAATCATTACTTTGAAATAACCAATCAATTTGCTGTTTAGTATAAGGAACATTGATCACCCTTGGTTCTCTACCAAAACATCCCCTAGATTCTATCAGGCTGTTTTTTTTATTATTATTATTAAACAGACCACTGCTTCATAATAAGGGTTCAACACTTGGGCTGGAGAAACAGGTAGATGCAGCCACAATAATGGGTTGTTATTCTATAACACAGTCATTGGAGTATGTCGTGTAGGGAGCACATAGATTTCCCTTGGTATCATATAGTCAACATAGCATACCTGCTCAGTGCTGAATTGCATGCTCTACCTGAGTCAGTCCTTGCCTAGCAACATCTATAAGATGCCAGGGGGGAACTAGAATCCCTATTCCCCTTAAGAATCTCAATCTCACTGAAGGGTTCAAGATCTATAGACAATTTTAAATCTTTGTTGGAAGAGAACATCCTGAAATGTTTTTATTATATGTTTCACATTATATGAAGCATTCAAGTTGAGAAGTTTCTAAATATATATGAGAAAGGGTGTGTGGAACCAAGACAACCCAAAAAGCCCCAGGATAGTCTGATGGGGAAAAACAGCATTAACTGTCAGCTTCACAAAGCCTAGAGTCGCCTGAGAAGGAAGTCTCAATAGAGAGGTTAACAAGATCAGATTGGCCCATGGCAATGTCTGTGAGAAAGCATCTTAGTTGTTACCTGATATAGGAGGGCTCATTCCCTGAGCAGGTGGTCCTGTATAAGGAAGCTAACTAAACATGAACCTGAACCAGCCCCAAGCATGGTTTCTACTTCAAGTTCTTGCTTGAACTCCTGCCCTAACTTTGCTCAGTGGGAGATTATGACAGTATAAGCCAAATAAATAAACTCTTCCCTTAAGTTGTGTTTAGGTAGAGTGTTTTATCACAGAAACAGAAAATAAACTAGAGCAAGCATGGTAGAAGGCAGTGGATAGAGATCAGGGGAGGAGAGGTCTTGAGAGCATTGACTAATGGTCCTGGGAAGTACCTGCCCTTCTTCTTTCCCTGAGATGAACTGCCAATCTTCCAAAGTGTGGCTAGCTAAAGAAAGTCTATCAACAGAGGTTTTACAGAGAGCAGGACTTCATACACTCACACACACACACACACACACACACACACACACACACACACACACGTCTCCCTGAATTGGTGTTTTACTTGAAATTTCTTAGAGTTGTTCCCTTGAATCCAGCCTTCACTGGTACTTCATGTCTACATCCCTCACACAACTAGCAAAGCCACGTAGAAGTGCCTATGAGACACACTGTAATGGGAAGGCGGGAACTTGAATGGGAGGGGTTTCCTACTGGATTGTATCAGAAATGGCCCTGCAGCAAGATAGGCTACTCACTGGCAGCCCAGGGAGCTGCTGGCATATGCATACCTTCTGCAAAACTTTAAAATTATTAGTTGCCTAATCTTTGGGATTTTTGTTAATTTTGTTTGGTTTGCTTTTTGTTGTTTTTTTTGTTTGTTTGTTTTGTTTTGTTTTTTTCCTATTTGGGTGGTCAAAGTACCTAATAGAGAGAGTTGAAATATGGATTATCATAAGGGAGAGGGTTGAATATACTCCCTACTCCCTGGTGAGAAGGCCATCTGGTTGATCCCTCTGCTTTCAGCAACAAAAAAATAAATGATGAAACCACCCACTGTCCCATCGTGACCAACAAACTTACTCATGCCATCACTGCAACTCCTGCTGTACATCTGCCACCTGCCACCTCCTGTGTCACCTCAATACCTTAGTCTCCTGTGGCAGAGATCCCTTTGTTTGCTGGGAGTCCATCTCCTCTTACCTCTGTTGTGAGATGTTCTGCTGTCCCTTTAGCTATGTGGTGTTCATCACGTGAAGCAAGTGTGTTATGTATGTGTAGCTGTCTGCAGCTTGATGAATGCTGATCTCCAAATGCTGTAAGCTACCCCATCCTCCCTGCAAAAGCTGAAACTCCAACTTCCCATGATGAGACTAAGAGCACAATAGAAAACTCTTCCCTTTCTTCACACACTTCTTAGTTCACTTGCTGTTGTACATGAGATGTTACTGCGTTATTTAGCAGTGATGGTGATAAATAGCAAAGCAATAGCTGACCACCTGATGCTCTCTTAAGTTAAAGCCATGACTTGATATCATATTATGTGTGTGTCTGATCCAGAAAAGTTACATGGTAATCACATGTTGCCTGTTTTATTGGTTTGTAGCCACTTTATAGCTTTGAATGACCATCCAGTTGTGAATGAAGATGTATTTACACACTGTATCTACTTAGAAATCATCTCTGTCCTACTTCATCTGGGCTTAGTTAATATGAGTTAAAATGATGGACACTATAAAAGGCAATATTTTCAGATGGTTGATATGTATAGCTGCACTGAGGTCATATGTCCTTTGTTTCTGTATAGATTTTTCTGTAGAATTAACGGTAATTATTACTATTTAAATGTTATATGCAGTACTTATTATTAGATATTAATAATGCCCCATTTTTCAAGGAATCCCAATGAAAATCATAAATTATATGACCATCCTAATCTTAAGGGAACTAAACTTTAGCCTCATTATGCCACAAGCATGTTTATTTCCCAGATTTGTTCACCTGCTGACATCATTTAAGCAATATCTCCATATATCTCTCCTACCCTGCACCCTTGCAAAAGCTCACATGTTGTTCCATAGAGGATGCTGAGAGAATAGCATTAGTGAGGGACCCAGGGAAGTGAGACCCCAGGAAAGCTTCAGTTTGCTCACAGGGCTATAGAAGGAAGACCAGGCTAAGTGCCACACATAGAAGTTGACATATAGTCTGTGCTAACTAAGTATTCAAGCATGGTAGCTACTGGTCAAAGTTAGTAGTGTGGACACAATGAAAGAAAGGGGGGAGAGAAAACCTGGGGCTGGCGATGTTCATCACACTCAAGTTAGGTCCCATGGAGTCTCCATGAGGCTTTGACGGAGTCCCCAGGCTAGCCTGTATGGTATTCTAGTTCATGAGGGTATTTTGTGTGTGCATGGGGGGTGGCAATTCTTCTACAAATGGCATCATGTCAGATTCGTTGTGGAGACAGTCTGTCCCTGACATGAGAAGGGACAGGGCAGATCCCTAGGGTGCTGCAGGAAGGACTGGAGAGCAGCTAGTGGCAGAGGCTTCTGCCACTGCCCTGTGTCATGAATGAAACAGCGGCTGTGATTTGGCCCATGTCCTGTGTCATGCTCACTGGGATCTCTCTTCCTGTGGTTGTTTTAGGAGCTGGTGGGGAGTAACCCTCCGCAGAGAAACTGGAAAGGAATCGCAATCGCACTGCTCGTCATCCTGGTCATATGCTCCCTGATCGTCACCTCAGTCATACTGCTGACACCAGGTATGGAAGCTTTCAGAGATCCAGTCACGAACATATTAAAGTGGGCAGTTTCACTATGGGATGCTTTCTAAGTAGCTTTTGACTGTAAGGCCTCTTACAGATTCTCGTTTTCTCTATACCATTGTAGAAGGTTATAGGTTGTTTTAAATGAAAACAAAGCCATTTAATATGCTTTAAACTTTTATATAAGTGTTGATTAGATAAAATGGCATAGATTAAAAATTGGCTGTTACTTATTTATCTTGAAATTAAAGGTAGTGGCATAGAAATAATTTAATATCTCATATCTGGGTGGTAGAGAAAAGATGAATTAAAAAAATGTTCAAGCAACACATGATGACTACGAAGCAAGGGCAAATTACTGATTAAGTGACACTGATGGCGTTAAATACTAATGGATCCAGAGACAAAATTCTCTCAAGTAAGGATAAAAACATACTGGAATCCAGATCAGTGCCCTGAAAGCATTGAGTTCAGCTGCATGGTCTGTACAGTGGCTGAGACAAAATTGCTTTGGAGCCTCGGGGGCAGAAATGTCTTTGAGTTTAGATTTTTTTAAATGTTACCTCCACCTTTGTGAATAAAATAGGATGTGGGGTGGACCTCCCAGGTGGTGGGAAGGGAGCTTTGCTTGTAAGATTGCCATGTGGAAGTGTCACAGGACAACACGGGTGCCATAGATAGCAGTATATGCTGGTTACTCCATTACCATCATCACTTTAGATGCTCATGTGCAGGTGCAAAGGCAGCATCGTTCCAGTCCTCACTAAGCTGACTGCATGTGTATTAGACTTCAAGGTTGGAAAGTGAGTATATACTGCAATGTAGAGGAACAAAAGACAAGCACAAAATGCACACACATGGTTAAGCCATTAGACCAAGATGTAAGTGAAATAAAATTAACATCTTTATTAAAAGGGAAAAATAAGAACTGCAGACCAGTGTTCCTTGTGAGGATAGATGCACAGGAAGCTAGTAGCCAACTAACATAGTAACATATAAAGATATTACAGGGGGCTGGACAGCTGGCTCTGCTGTTAAGATCTCAGAGCATCGCAGCTCTCAGTCCCCACATCAAGTGGCACACACAACCACTTGTAACTGCAGCCTGATGCCCTCTTCTGATCTCCATAGGCAGAAGACGAATGGTGTAGAAGGGACTGTGGGCAAATTAGAGAACACTCATTTTGTGAGTGCTGCTTCTGAGTGGATGCAGCTGGAACCAGAACAACTGCAGAGAGTTAATTAATACAAAGGAACTGGGGCACTCTCTGGATCTGGGGAGCATGGGGCTGTCTTTGCTTTCCCTTGAGCAGAGATGTACTTTGGTGACAAGTGACTTTCACAGCCTTGGTCCCATGGTCATGTCCCATTTCCTTGGGACTTAGAATAGGGAAATGGTTCTCAGAGATTCTCTGGTCTGGTGTGGAGTTTTGCAAAGTTCACCTCCTCCAGAATAAAGACTTCTCATGAGCATTACTCAAGAGTGGATTGCAGTGGATGGAGACAGCAACACGGCCATGGTACATGGAGCAATGAATATCCCCAGACCTGAAACATGGCCCCTGGGACCTTCCTAACAGCTAATCCTAACAGAACTTTATATCCCTTTCATGCCATAGGAGCAAACACAGAGCAGTCCCCTCTAAGTCCAGTAGAGAATACAGTCACTGCACAAGTTTCTGTCAGATGGTGACACCAGCTGTCAGAGAAAGATGCTGTAGAAGGTAGCTGGGACCTTGGGTGAGTCTCCATATTCTAAGAAGGCTTTGAAAGAGGTTGTTTCCTTAATCCTTCTGTTGAAATCAATAGAAGAACCTTGTGTAGCCCTTTTGTTCTGGAGATGTCCACGGATAATGTTTGTTTCTGTAGGTTGTGCTGTTAGGGAACTATGTGTCCTGGGCTTGAGAGGACCAGGCAGGGTGAATGCTCAACAAAAGCCATGCTGTAGGGCCCTCCTGGCATGGCTCTCCTAGAACAAAGTAGAAGCTTTTGTTTTGACGCTGATGATTGTGTCAGGTGTTCTACTTGTACCGCTCTGAAAAGTCCTCAGATTTCCTCAGATGTAGAGCCCACAAAGCTAAGCTTGCCCTCCTTCCAACATCAATAATCCCATTGGGAGCTTCAACCACTGTGATAAGCACTGAGCAAATGTAGAACGTGTAAATTCCTGCATTCTCCTTTGAGTTAAAAGAAGAATGCCAAGTGTTCCTATTAGTATGAAAAATGAAACCAGAGAGCAGGGTGGGACTGAGGTCAGGGTACCACAGGAGGTAAGAGGGCTGCGGTTCAGAGTCCCCATGAGAGCAGCCATGCCTCAGGGATGTATGCAAGCAGTTTCAGGCACAGCCCCATGGCATTGCCCCTGCTCCCACCCAAGCATTGCCTTCAATTTAATAGACTCAAGAGAAACTTCTAAAAGCAAACATTTTCCAAGTACTCACATATTCTGACCTTGTGTTCTAGAAACACTGCATCTATAACATGCTCACTGCACACTCAGTTCTGAACTCATTTGCTTTGGTCTGTTTGTGACCATTTCCCATTGCTCACAATCCAGCTCCAACTCCCCAAGAAAGATCTGGTGGGAGGATTTCTCTGGGGCAGTGGTGTTCTGGGAGGTTCTCTTGGCGATTCTGACAGGCAAGGTACCTTGCTCTGTGGCGCAGGCTGACAATCAGCAATTACTCCCTATCTATGTCTCTCTGAAGGATCTTGAAGGGAACATGTTGGACCATGCTCTTTTCCAAATTTCTCTTCTGAATAATAGATTTAAAGTTACCCTTTTACTTTTCTGACATTCCCACAGAGGTTGGTGTATACCATTCAGGACAGCTGCAATTCCTGCGTTCGGATGAGACTGACTACATAGGTCAGCACTCCAAGGGGTCTGAAGGCATGATGGAGTTTAAGTGGCATTAGGGTGTTTCAGATTTGCCTTCTCACCAAACACACTCCAGAGAAGTATAACAAGAAAACCACTAACTCTGAGGGTCACACTGAAGACTAGCTTTAGGGCCAGGCCACACTCAAGTTTCCAGGAGCAAAGAGAACTGGTGTTCGATTATATAATCATAACGAGCAGATTACTTGTAAAGTAATATCCCCACAGTTCTATTTAAATGCAATGCCTGTGACCAACTGTGTTAGTTGAGAAATTACATTCTTGTTCATGTCCACCATGGAGAAAAGATTGTACCCATTGGAGATAAGAGGAAGCCTGAGAAGTCACCCTGAGCCATCACTAGCATGCGTGTTTTTCCGAGATAGCCTGGCTTGAAAGACAAGGAGGGCCACAGTGAGTGCTCATTCAGATGTAAAAACTGATGAAGGGATGGAGGGAGGCTGGGGTGATGGAGAGGGAGAGACATGGACACCTGGCTTGAGCTCTGAGAGTGGACTCTGATTCCTCCCACTGTCTGTATAGAGGTCTCCATCACGACCATTTTTAGAATCTGAGTGTTGCTTTATGTCATCCTATCTCTGGGGAGTAAAGAGAGAGGTGGACACAAATACACCCAGAGTGTTTCTGAATGTCTATAGACCATCTGCTAGCCTGGACTAGTAGGCTGCTCTTCCACTAACAGGTCATTGAGGGGGAGGACCAAGGAATCAAAAAAAAAACCCAATAAAATAAAGAAGATAGTGAATTTGATGTTAGGAGGTCTTACACAAGGTATACCTTCTGCCAAGCAACTTTACTAAGAAGTACATCTTCTCATATACAGTTTTCAGAGGGAAAATGGGATAGAGTCAGTAGGAAAAAATCATGCAATGGGACAAAGTCAGAAGGAAGCTACTCAAGCAATGTTGCACACAGGGAACACAGTTTATCTCAAGGGCATTACAGATGGAACACACAGAGGCCTTGGGACTGGTAACCAGAGCCTTTTAAGAGGGAAGAAGTGGTTTTTAGGGAATCAATACTGCACCTCTCCCAAGGCTCTGACCCAGGCCATTACTTGATCTGCCAAGCATATTCCTGGTTTTACAGAAGGTACTGTCTTCCTTCTCTACACATCAGGTCCTCAGAGAAATCCCAGCCCACAACAATCTACCATGATAGATATTCATTAACAAAAATATGTATGCATGGAATACCAGAATGGGTACTAACATTGTCTGGTTTGAAGGTGTCTGTGTTGCTACACAGAGCAAGACCTTGTCAAATTTGGTGGCTCAGGTCAACCCCTAGTCAGCTTGTCTCCACCTATCTCTACTGTCATCCTTAGCTCATTGACTGAGGGGCTAGAACAATCTCTAGTCTGTGTGACCCACACAGGGAACTGAGGAGGGACGCTCACTTCCTCCATCACTGAAGAAATTATGTCCCTGGGACTAACAATTCAGAGGTTTAGTTCATTATCATAATGGTGGGAAGTATGGTGGCATGCAGGAAGACATGGTGTTGGAGAGGCAGCTGAGAGCTCTACATCTAGATCCATAGTCAGCAAGAAGAGACAGTGAGCCATGAGACCTGGCTTGAGCTTCTGAGACCTCAGAGCCCACCCCTAGTGACACACTTCTTCCAACAATGCCACACCTACTCCAAGGCTCCACCTCCTAAATAACACAGTCTACCTTCTCACCTTTAAAGGTTGACAGCCTCCATAATTACTAGGGACAGTCACTACATCTTGTGAAAGCTTGAGTTTGGGCCCCAGATCCCATATGGAAAGGCCAGGTAGAGTGGCATGTGTTTATAATCCCTGAAGTGGAGAGGTAGAGACAGGAGGAGCTGGCCAGCTAGCATGGCCTAATCTGTGAGCGCCAGACCATGAGAGCCCATGTTTCTATCTTTAATGATTGCCTTTTCTTATATTTATAATTATATATATGCATGTATGTACATATATATGTATATATATATGTGTGTGTGTATATATATATATATATATACAGACAGACAGACAGATAGATAGATAGGTGTGGGGGGTATAAATGCTCATATGTGTAGGTGCCCACAGAGACCAGAAGAAGGCATCAGATCCCTTAAAACT